ATCATAACCATGAGACTAAGTGCAAAGCATAACCTTTTAACATGATTCTGTGACATGGGAAGAATGAAATTAACACACCATACACATGTAACAATGTTTTAAGGACTGAATAAGCAGTGCTACAAAAATGGCAATACCTGTTTCCCCTTAAATCAAATCATGTGATAACCCCTTTGAGTTAAAGGCTGGACTGTGAACTGAGCACTGGGGATCTGGGAATACAGGTCCCTGCTGTACAAATCGGTATGTGAGAGATAAATTACCATAAAATGTAACAGTGATTTATTACTAGTAAGTCCAAGTTGCTATGGGAAACCAAAAAAGTGCCTAATTCTGAAAGAGACACAAAAGGTCAAGAAAAGTTTAGCTGAGCAAAGCAAACTTGAAACAAGCCTTGAAGGAGGAGCAAAATTTTGCCAACCTGCAAGACCAGCAGGATTCCAGGCAGAAGGAATGGTGTGGGCAGGCTGGGAGGTGTGACACCCTTATGTTTACAGAATTATGTTGCTAGATAGTAAGGGCCCTGCATGCCATACTTATTCAAGGATTTAATAACTTTAAAAAAAAATCACAATCCTTATAACACAGTAAATGTATCTCAACTACTGACAAACAAGCACAGCACAGACTTACCTAAATTCTTTAAATTCTGCAAAGAAACTCTGTCTTCTTCCTCATCACTATTGAGAAAATCAGCTATAGAGTCATCATCATCTAAGGAATACAAAACAGTCAGCGGCTCATGACTAAAAAGGAGGCCTGGGCACCAGATTTTAACAACTACTTCAATAGGATAAAAATGTATGCACACACATGTAATAGTGATAGGGGTATTCAAGCAGGTACAGACAAAAATCCTCTTCTCCGGAGTCTGTGACTATACTAACACTCCTTTTTTAGAAGAGGGAGGCTAAGTGAAAGAATTGGTGATTTTAACAAATGCACCCTAGTGTTCACATCCTTACTTGTATATGTGGTCCTGTGGTCTTTAGGCTTAGACCCTGGCTGTCTAATAACTTATTACCCATCCCCACCTCTACTTGGCTCCAACCCTGTGATGGGCCAATTAACTGGATGCTCTGTAAAAAACAGTCAAGCAGAATCTCCTGTGCTTTCAGCATGGGCAGAAACTGCTGGCATTGCCTGAACCCAACCTGGAAATTTCTCAAAGGGCAAAAATGGGCCATGCCTTTGGAGTGAATGTTCAATACCTCTTTGGTGGCACCAGAGGGGCTGCTTTCAGAGCCTGGCATGGTGCATGACACCCAGGAGGTATTAAAGAACATTTAGATGGCTGGACGGATAGGTCGACAGCCCACTACTGCTATGAGCTCTGAACCCCCAGCAACAGCGAGATGATCTAGGACAAAGAAAGCCTCCTGCCTGGGCTGAGCTCAGATGAACTGACAGCCCCAGCCAGATTCATGGAGGGAGACCAGCAGCTGTGGGCTAGAGAAGGCTCCTGCCAGCAGGGCCCACCACAAACCCCCAAACCACAGCCATGGCCTTTCTCATCTCTGTCTTCTGCCCATTTTTCTTCTCCTGAATACTGCTTTCAGGCTGTTGCCTCAACATCACCCATGATGACATAGCCCCACTCCTGATGCTCAGGGCTAAGAAAGCTGTTGTTTCCCAACGAAGCTCTTGTTCTGGATTCCCTGACCAGCCCCAGTCTCCCCTTTTCCTTCCTTTCAACTTTTTCTATGTGAAGTCCCTTGTAGATTTGTTTGAAGTCAACCAACCCACCTTTGTTTTCCACAGGCTTTATGGTTTTAGTAGGAAGAGCTGATCTTATTTTTTTCTCAACAGGACGAGCTTCAGGGTTGCACTGTTCTGAAAAAGACACAAATCCCAGGCCCACATTACCTCCATTTCAGCAACAAGGCTGCACCTCCCCACCAAGCTAGCATCTAGGTAGGAAGCAAGTGTCTGGGGTAAGGGATGTGGGTGGGTGCCCAGGAATGTGGAAGAAGTGAGAGATCAAAGCAAGAGGGAGGTTAAGGAAAACTGCCAGCAGGCTGAGAAAGCAGGGCTCATTCATGCACCCCAAGAACCTGTCCCCATCCTCCCTACCCTGCCGAATCTTACAAGATTCTCACCACAATTAACTGGGGTGTTTGAAATAGCTGCTATAAACCAGATACCAGATGGGATAAAACTAGAGAAAAAATAACCAAAGAACTTACAAAGTCAACAGAAGACCAGCTGTGCTGGCTCACGTCTGTAATCCTAACACTCGGAGGCCAAGGTGGGAGGATCACTTGAGCCCAGGAGTTTGAGACCAGCCTGGGCAACCTAGCAAGACTACGCCTCTACAAAAAATAAAAAAAATCATCCAAGCATGGTGGTGCATGCATGTGGTCTCAGCTACCTGGGAGGCTGAGGCAGGAAGATCACTTAAGCCCAGTATGTCAAGGCTGCAGTGAGCTGTGATTGTGCCACTGCACTCCAGCCTGGGTGACAGAGAATCAACAGAGCATGAAGTCACAGGAAAGGATTCTGAGGACATAAAGGCAGGACCAGATTGTAGAGACTTAAAATATAGATTTGACAATATGCTACGGAAAGGTTCTGGTCAGGTAGGTGGCAGTTACAACAGCTGCCAGTGACTGAGTGCCAAGCACTGTGCCAGGTACACAGTGAGATACATAAGTGGCTCAATGAACCTTTAGAAAGCCCCCATGACATGGAGACTATTAATTCCACTTACAGATGAAAGGATTAAATTTTCTTGTAATAAACTTGTCCATTGGTGTCCACAGCTAGTAAGTAGCAGAGGCAGATTTTAGAATCCAGGTCTAACTTTACAGCTGTGCTATACGTGTAAGGAACACACCAGGAGGGACTGGAGAAGAGGTGAATTTTCTGAGTTGTACCTGATCCCAAAATACATTTGTGTCTAAGGGGCTCAAAAAGAGGCTGGAGCTAAAGATTTGGATGTCAGCAAGAAAAAAAAAAAAAAAGTTTAAAGTAAAAGAGAGACCACCTACCTAGGAATAAAAGTCAAGGACCAAATTTCAAGGGAGAGATCTAGCAAAAGGGAGGACTGGGCACAGTGGTTCCTGCCTGTAATCCCAGCAATTTGGGAGGTCGAGGCAGGAGGACTGTTTAAGCCCAGGAGTCCAAGACCAGCCTGGGCAACACAGTGAGATCCTGTCTCTACAAAAAATGGATAAAGTTTGTCTTCGTTACTCAGGAGGCTAAGGTGGGAAGGCCACTTGGGCCCAAGAGGCCAAGGGTGCAATGAGCTGTGATCATGCCACTGCACTCCATCCTGGGCAAAAGAGCAAGACCCTGTCTCAAAAAGAAGAAACAAGGAGAATCTACAGCTATGCCACCCTGAATGCACCCTATCTCATCTGACCTCAGAGGCTAGAACAGGGTCAGGCCTGGTTAGGACTTCAAAGGGAGAAAGGGAGGAAAGAATACCACAGAGCGCTATCTTCCCAGCCTCCAAAGGAGAATATCAAGAAAGAAAAAGCCAAACACAGCAGATATTCATACTAATCAAGAAAGATGACAGGCTAGACACGGGTAGCTCACGTCTGTAATCCCAACGCTTTGGGAGGCCAAAGTGGAAGGATCACTTGAGCCCAGGAATTCAAGACCAGCCCAGGCAATACAGTGAGACTTCATCTCCACAAAAATTAAAATTAAAAATAAATAAGCCAGGCATAGTGGCGCATGCCTGTAGTCCCAACTACTTGGGAGGCTGAGGTAGGAAGATTGCCTGTGCCCAGGAAGTCAAGGCTATAGTGAGCACCACTGCACTCCAGCCTGGGTGACAGAGCAAGACTGTTGCAAAAAAATAAAAATAAAAAGACAAATGAAAAGTGTACAACAGATGTGGCTATTAGAAATTTCTGATAAAAAATTATTCTTTATTAAATACCACTTTAACACTGCCTATAGTAGCAACAAAGGCAAAATTAATGTAAATATCCACCAATAAGAAAAATAAATATTAAAATGACCATACTACCCAAAGTAATCTACAGAGTCAATACAATCCCTATCAAAATACCGACGACACTGTTCACAGAAACTAAAAAAAAAAAATTCTAAAATTAATACAGAACCACAGAAGATCCCCAAGAGCCAAAGCAATCCTGAGCAAACAGAACAAGGCTGGAGGCATCACCACTACTTGGCCTCGAAATATACTACAAAGCTATAATATCTAAAACAGCATGGTACTAGCATAAAAATAGACACATAGATCAATGGAACAGAATAGAGAACCCAGATATAAATTCACACATTTACAGCCAACTGACTTTTCACAAAGGCACCAAGAGCATATACTGGGAAAAAAGCACTCTTCAATAAATGGTACTGGAAAAATAGGATAACTGTAAGGATAACCATATGCAGAAGAATGAAACTAGATCCTTATCTGTCACCATATATAAACATCAAAATGGATTAAAGACCTAAATGTAAGACCTGAAACTATGAAACTACTACAAGAAAACACAGGGGAAATGCTTCAGAACTTTGGTCTAGGCAAAGATCTTATGAATAAAATCTCAAAAACACAGGCAACAAAAGCAAAACTAGGCAAACGGAATTCTGTTACACAAAAAAGCTTCTGTACAACAAAGGAAACAACAGAGTGAAGAGACAACCTATAGGATGGGAGAAAATATTTGCAAAATATTCACTTGACAAACGGTTAATATCTAGAATACACAAGGAGCTCAACAGCAAAAAAAAAAAAAAAAAAATTTAAGTGGACAAATGGGCTGGGCGTGGTGGCTTACACCTGTAATCCCAGCCCTTTGGGAGGCCAAGGCAGGTCGATCACCTGAGGTCAAGCGTTCAAGACCAGCCTGGCCAACATGGTGAAACCTCGTCTCTACTAAAAATACAAAAATCAGCCAGGAATAGTGGCAGGCACCTGTAATCCCAGCTACTCTGGAGGCTGAGACAGGAGAATCGCCTGAACCCTGGGAAGCGGAGGTTGCAGTAAGCAGAAATTGTGCCACTGTACTCCAGCCTGGGCGACAAGAGTGAGACTCCATCTCAAAAAAAATAAAAGTGGACAAATGGCCCAAACAGATACTTCTCAAAAGACGACATACAAATGGCCACAAGTACATGAAAAAATGTTCAATATCACTAATCATTAGGGACATGCAAGTCAAGACCACAATGAGATATCCTCTCACCAAAGTAAGAATGGCTATTATCAAAAAGAAAAAAAATAACATGTTGGCAAAGATGTGGAGAAAAGGGAACTCCTATACACTGCACTGTTATTGGGAATGTAAATTGGTATAGTCATTATGGAAAACAGCATGGAGGTTCCTAAAAAAACTACGAATAGAACTACCATTTGATCCAGAAATCCCACTACTGCGTATATATCCAAAGGAAATTAAATCAGTCCGCCGAAGAGATACCTGCACTCCCGCGTTTACTGCTAGTCCCAACAGTCAAGATATGGAATCAACCTAAGGATCCACCAACAGATGGATAAAGAAATGTGGTACATATACACACTGGATATTAGCCATAAAAAACCATGAAATCCTGTCACTTGCAGCAACGTGGATAAGACCAGATGGCATCGTGTTAAGTGAAATAAGCCAGGCACAGAAAGATGTTCTTGTTAACATGTGGATGCTAAGCAAGTTGATTTCACAGAAGTAGAGAGTAGAACAGTGGTAACTAGAGGCTGGAAAGAGTAGAGGGTAGGGGGCTAGGGAGAAGTTGGCTAATCGATATAAAATTACAACCAGATAGGAGGAGTAAGTTCTAGTGTTACACAGCACCTTAGTGTGGCCATGCTGGCAGCAATTTATACTTTCAAATAGCTGAAGAGAGGATTGTGAATGTTCCCAACATGAAGAAATAATGATTATTTGGGGTGATGAACATGCTAACTACCCTATTTGATCCTTACACATTGTATACAGGTATTGAAATATCATATTGTAACTCAAATTGTGTGCAATTATGTGTCAACTAAAAACAAATATTAAAAAGAAAAATCTACCAATAGGAAGCTTTATATAAATAATGGTCGTATCAACTATATAATGAGTCCTTTAAATCAGTGAGCTAGAACTTGTATGCACTAGTTTTTGTTTTTGATTTTTTTAATTTTTACTTTTTTTGAGACGGAGTCTCACTCTGTTGCCCAGGATGGAGTGCAGTGATGCAGTCTCGGCTCACTGCAACCTTCGTCTCCATGGTTTAAGCAATTCTCCTGCCTCAGTCTCTTGAGTAGCTGGGATCACAGGCGCGCGCCTCCACACCCAGCTCATTTTTCTATTTTTAGTAGAGATGTGGTTTAATCATGTTGGCCAGGCTGGTGTCAAACTCCTGACCTCAGGTGATCCACCCACCTTGGCCTCCCAAAGTGCTGGGATTACAGGCGTGAGCCATTGCGCTCGGCCTGTATGCACTACGTTTTGAAAAGTGCCCAACATATAAAATCAAATGAGGATGTTCAGTACAGTCTCACTGCTGAGATTCTAAAAGCTAAAAAAAAAGTTCGATATATTGGTACAAGAGTGGAAATAAGCTGAAAGAATCTACGTCAAACTTGTTTTTTGTTTGTTTGTTTGTTTTGAGACAGAGTCTTGCTGTCTCCCAGTCTGGAATGCAGTGGTGCGATCTTGGCTCACTGCAGCCTCCTCTTTGCGGGCTCAAGCGATCTTCCCACCTCTGCCTCCTGAGTAGCTGGGACCACTGGCGCCGACCGCCACGCCTGGCTTTTTTTGTTTGTTTATACAGACAGGGTTTCACCATGTTGCCCAGGCTGGTCTCAAACTCCTGAGCTCAAGTGATCCGCACACCTCAGCCTCCCAAAGTGCTGGGATTACAGGCGTGACCCACCGCGCCCAGCCGACATCAAACTTCTTTTTTTTTTTTTTTTCCCAGACTGAGTCTCGCTCTGTCGCCCAGGCTGGAGTGCAGTGGTGCAATCTCGGCTCACTGCAACCTCCACCTCCCGGGTTCAAGCGATTCTCCTGCCTCAGCCTCCTGAGTAGCTGGCGCGCGCCACCATGCCTGGCTAATTTTTGTATTTTTAGTATAGACGGGTTTTCATCATGTTGGCCAGGCTGGTCTCGAACTCCTGGGCTCAGGTGATCCACCCGCCTTGGCCTCTCAAAGTGCTGGGATCACAGGCGTGAGCCACCGTGCCCGGCCAGGTCACTTCTTTTTAACGGTACAAAAGTTTGTTCACATACACAGAACTTAGTTGGTTCTTTTTTTCTCTTAACAAGTCAAGGACTTCTCCTTGCGTTGTACATGGACTTACCTCTTTGTTTCTAACAAGACATTATTTACACGAGTGAAAATATTGTTAAACTTGCGCAGTTTCAGCCAAAATGGTAAGGGGCTACACCAGAATACTGAGAAAGAAACTGCTAGGGTAGACCTCGGTGGGAAAAGCAATCGGTAACTATTTCTAAGTAAGAAGAGTAGCACGCAGAAGGAGGGGCGGGGTAGAAGAAAGGCTACTGACTGTTCAAAAAAGTGAGAGCGATTACAGAGAGGGACAACAGAGGGAACTGTCCGACACACAGGGAGAGGCCTATGACACCAGGGACCAAGTCAGAGGAAGCGAGGTTCCTGCAGAACCCACGGAGACCCGAGGCGGAGAAAGAAGCGCAGCCCAAGGGTCCACGCCCCCAAGACGGAGGCTGGACGTGGGGGCTACCCCGCGCGAGGAGGGGGCCGAGGGCTGGCGGGGACGGGGACTCACCTTTGTGCTTCCGGAAACAGGCTACAGAGCAGCTGTAACAACAGAAGCCACAGGCCGCGTCAGCCCCGAGGGCCCGCGGCCCCTCCAGCAGCCTGCCGGCTGCCGCCCGGCCTCCCGCCCTCCCGCCGTGGCCGGATACCGGCACCCCCAGACCCCGCGACCTCCCCGCTCACTAGGGCACGCGGCAGGCCGGACAGCGGTATTTGGGCTTCTCCAAGCAGATCACGCAGACGACGGTGCTACACCTGAGCGACGCCATGGTCTTGGGGAAGGAAACTGCTTCCCGCGCCGCCGCGCGCGCCTCTCACGCAGCCGCGCCCGCGTGCACGCGCCTTTTCCGTTTCCTAAACGAGGACCAATCAGCACTCAGCAGGCAGGCAAAAGCAATGGACCGACCTGCTCACTGTTCCAGTCCTCGTAAGTAGAGCGTCGATATACTCGATGTGCATCTAGTAGCTGCTTCCCAGTTTTCCTTGATCAGATCACAGCGTCGAAGAACTTGTGTAGCCCTGTCCCTGTCCCTGTCCCTGTGCGGCCGTGTGGCTTGGACCAAGTCATCGACACTGTCCAGGTGTGTTGCCCCGCATGTAAAAAAGAAAACAATGCATGGAAGTAAACGTCCTTTACTTTCTGGCTTGGACTTCCTGAATCTTGCAGGGACATTGGAGTTCGTCCGCCCATCTCATCTGCTTATTCTTGGCAAAGGACGAGTCCAGACACTGGGCGAACCAGAATCGGTTGGATCACGCAGTAGACAGGAACCTGCCCTTCCCAACCTAGGCCATTTTTCACTGGGGAAAGAAAGATGAGCCTGACCACTGGCAAATGTTTGAGCTCCAACTCTGAGCCCTTCAGTGCTGGGGACCCCCCGGGATCTTCTAATGAAGAAGTCGTCTCTGTCCTCTGGGAACTTAATGCTTAGAGTGAAAGTAGGACAGGGAAACGGGGAGGAAAGAGACTCACTCTTAGAGTCCTGCCCTCGCTACCCTGCACCTGCACGCCCCTGAGAGTGAGTGCTTCTTAAATTTTGCACTCTAGGCTCCTCACACCTCCCCCTAGTCCCGGAAGCTAATGACCAGGAAGCAGGCCAGTGACCACTGGCCCCAAGACGGGGATCCCAGACAGATGAGTCTGGACAGATGGGCTATGATGGGACTTGAATGCCACCACAAACTTTAGGTTTAGACAAAGTCATGTTCTTTTTGTTTTTTTTTGTTTTTTTTTTTAAGGAAATTTGCTTGCAGCTAGGCATGGCCCAGCCTTACCTTGGCTCCCATCCTACCTGCACTGGGCCCTCCCAGGGCCATAAATTGCCCTCACCCCCAAGTGCCTCCTCTTCTGTGTTGGCTGTTCAGCCTTCGGGGTCCCTCTTCAATAAAGGTGTCTGCAGGGATGTATCTGCAAAATCCAAGGCAGTGGTTTGAACCTTGGCTCAACCCCCTCCCTGGCTGTGTGACCTGCCGGGGTTGGTTACCTGCTCTGAGCTCCCTTATCTATTAAAGTGGATGTTTGGGCCTACTTTCCTGAGCTGTTGTAAAGCAGAGAGGAGACCATGTGCAAAAAGTTTTGTAATCTGAAGTGCTACATGATATCTAGAAAGAGTCTTAACTCTCATGGATCTCCATCTGGACCGCATGAATGAAGGTCTCAGGCCCCAAGCCACACCCCTCCAAAACAGTTCTGCCATCTGCTTCTTGAGTGGGAAGTGAGTAACGATCCTTCCTTTGGGCATGGCAACCCAGTCCAGTCCTCAGTGCTGAAGCTGCTGGGCCCTCTATCCACCTTCATGTCCTACTTGCAGCTGCCCCAACCTCCAACCTCTGCCTGGGACCCAGCCTAGAATCCAAAACCGGTCCACACAGGCCTAGTAACTCGCAGCGCTCTCATATTGTTCAACAGTTATACCACTGATGATTTGAACTTGAAGCATCCCAGAAAGTCCAGAGAAGTCCTGAGAAGGCCAGAGAAGGCCAGTGACTTGTCCAGGGCCATATGTAAATCCTGTGCCAAGCCGGGCATCGTCGCACCAGCCTGTAGTCCCAGCTACTTGGAAGGTTGAGGCAGGAGTTCAAGACTGCAGTGAGCTATGATTGTGCCACTGCGTTCCAGCCTGGGTGACAGAGAGAGAGAGACCCTGTCTTAAAGAAGAAAAATTTAGGCCAGGCACAGTGGCTCACACCTGTGATCCCAGCACTTTGGGTGATCAAGGCAGGCAGATCACTTGAGGCCAGGAGTTCAAGACCAGCCTGGCCAACATAGCGAAACCTTGTCTCTACTAAAAATAGAAAAAATTAACTGGGTGTGGTGGTACATGCCTGTAATCCCAACTACGAGGGAGGCTGAGGCACAAGGATCGCCGGAATTCAAGAGGCAGAGATTGTAGTGAGCCAAGATCACGCCACTGCATTCCAGCCTGGGTGACAGAGCAAGACTCTGTCTCTAAAAATTTAAAAAAAAAAAAAAATTAATTTAATTTAAAATCCTGTACCCAGCCAGGTAAGGGGGCTCATGTCAGTAATCCTAGCACTTTGGGAGGTGAAGGTGGGCACATGACTTGAGCCCAGGAGTTCAAGACCAGCCTGGGCAACATGGTGAAAATCTGTCTCTACCCAAAAAGATACAAAAATTAGTGGGGGGCTGTGGCATGAGCCTGTAATCCCACCTACTGGGGAGGCTGAGGTGGGAGAATCGCTTGAGCCCAGAAGGCAGAGGTTGCAGTGAATGGAGATCATGCCACTGCACTCCAGCCTGGGCGACAGAGCAAAACTGTGTCTCAAAAAAAATTTTTTTTAATTTAATTAAATTAAACTTAAAATCCTGTGCCCAGCCAGGTAAGGTGGCTCACGCCAGTAATCCTAGCACTTTGGGAGGCCGAGGCAGGCACATGGCTTGAGCCCAGGAGTTCAGGACCAGCCTGGGCAACATGGCAAAAACCCATCTCTACCCCAAAAGATACAAAAATTAGCGGGGGGCGGTGGCATGAGTCTGTAATCCCAGCTACTGGGGAGGCTGAGGTGGGAGAATCGCTTGAGCCCAGGAGGCAGAGGTTACAGTGAGTGGAGATCACGCCCATGCACTCCAGCCTGGGCAACAGAGCAGGATCTTGTCTCAAAAGGAAGAGAAAGAGAGAGAGAAAAAAAAAAAGATCCTGTGCACTGTCTGACATGGGTAGAAGTTTGCCCACTGTGGAGGACATCACCACTGCTGCTTGATTTGTCCTGTGATGTGTGTACCGAGGCTGAGGCCAGAGACAATCCTAACCATTTTCAGGGGCTCAATCCCTCCCACCCGCATCCAAACCACGCTGACCTGCGAGTGGAGAGATGATGACTCTAGCAAAAAAAAAAAAAGAAAAGAAAAGAAAAGAAAATTCGGCCGGGCGCGGTGGCTCACGCCTGTAATCCCAGCACTTTGGGAGGCCAAGGCGGACAAATCACCAGGTCAGGAGATCGAGACCATCCTGGCCAACATGGTGAACCCCGTCTCTACTAAAGTACAAAAAATTAGCCGGGCATGGTGGGGGGCGCCTGCAGTCCCAGCTACTCGGGAGTCTGAGGCAGGGGAATCGCCTGAACCCGGGAGGCGGAGGTTGCAGTGAGCCCAGATCGCGCCACTGCATTCCAGCCTGGTGACAGAGCAAGATTCCATCTCAAAAAGAAAAGAAAATAAAATTTCTGGAATCCCTCCCATGCACATCCAAGCAGGGAAGAGGCCCCTCCTCCACTCTGGACATCTGGATGCCCCCAGCTTTCCCCGACCTTCGCACCCCTAGTCCTCTAATGTCCGGGAAAGGAGGTGGGCTCAGCCGCCATGGCGGTTAGTTGGTGGCACACTAAGAAACAGCGCATCTCCTCCGGGCAGTGGCCAGTTCAGACAAGAAAGGGGGCTGTGTGACCCCAGGCCCAGCAACTAGATGTCCACACTGATGTTCCCTCCAGACCCATCTTAATGGCCGCCCAGGGCTGTCTCGGGCCTCCTGGGCGTCAGCCTGGGGCGCAGTGCAGGCACTGGAGAGAGAGGCGTCGTTGTCGAGGTTTTCAGAGCTCTGCCTCCTGGCAGCGCTGTCCGGCGCGTTCGAGGCGAGTCCGGGCCAGTCACAGGCTGGAGACGCGCAACGCCGCGCCGGGTCCCGCCAGAGGGCGCCCCAGGCCCGCACTGCCCGGGTGGAGCTCGCTCGCCCGGATTCCCGCGCAGCTCACGCCCCGCCTGCGCCCCACCCCGTACGGAAGGCTCAGCGGTCTGGCAGCGCCGGGAAGAGCAAGTCCAGGCTCTGATACATACCTTGGACATCGCCAGGCGGCAGGAAAGTGCGTCGAGAGCGCGGGGGTGAAGCGGGCGACCCGACGCCCACGAGTGTTCCTACGGGAAAGCAGGGCCTGCGCTCACCGAGGGCTCCGCGTGCTGTCCAGGGGCGGTTCCCCGCGGTGTCCACCGCCCAGCGCTTGCGGACAGCCCCGGGGGGCAGAGTGCCCGCTGACAGCTGGCCGCCCTCAGTAGCCTGGTTAAAGTTGAACCGCACTTCCAGAGCGTGTGGGTTGCTCGCCAGGTCGCGATCCACTGCCTTCCACCCTCCTGGCCTCCGGTGATGGGGCGGGCAGATCGGCCTAATCTGCCCCACGTGCTGTGTGGCCCTTGTTAGAGGCGGAGGTTGATAAGGGCGAGCCCTGCTAGATCTCAGCTCCTTTCCGCAGCTCTGACACTTGCATTCCTCCCCCAGGGCACGGGTGAGCCAGGGCCAGCACCAGAAGTGACTATGATGGGCTCTTTAGGGACTGCTGCCACGTTCTCACCTGCGTGCCTCCGTTTCCCCTCTGGTATCTAACAGAGAGTAGTTCAGGCGTTAAAGTGAGTGACGTTGCGAGTGGGAGTCAAATGAAGGAGGCCTGAGGTTCTGGTGGAGTGGGTGGGCCCAGAAATTGGTGTCCAACAACTCTGCATATTATTTCCTACTCATGAAATTATATCCATCCTCCAACTCTAGACTAAATGACAGTATGACCTGCAGTTGGACTTCATGGAGAACTTCCAAAATACAAAAGGGATAGAGAACAATTGCATTACCCACAGTCCCAGAACTGTTGGGAGAGCACAGACAACAGAGGTCACCACTGCTCCCTGAACACACCCTACCAACCACAACCCCACATTTTACTTTTCTCACGCTCATTCCCATTTGCAAATGCACATCGATCTTCCACCTGACATTCCCAAGGACACACAGAGATGTGAGGAGTCAGAGCTACCCAACCAGCTTCCCCAAGAAGCCTCTAAATGTGCCCTGTGGAGTGGGTGTGCAGCACCAAGCTTTTCACACACCGCTGAACCCATCTCCAC